TGTGGGGTGGTTAGTGGTTTCAAACCTTTGACCTTATGGTTAGCAGCTGAGTACTTAACCATTGCGTCACCACCTTATATTTATCAATTTCTTTGTTCGCTATTTTTTTTTTTTTTTGGCACCTTCTTTCTGGGTTTAATATCTTTCTTTCTGAAGTGCCTTCTTTACTAACTTCAGAAAAGCAGTCTTTTCTGAAAAAAACTGCCTCTGTTATACAGTTACACAGTTTCTCTAGGTAGAGCAGATGCTACAGTCTCCGCTCCCATATCCCTCTGACCTTAACTTTTCTAGACTGCTGATATCTGCACCTCTTTGCCTGAGGACCTGAAGTGTTGGGGTGTCAATACCCCCCAGGGAGCAGCCTTAACAATAATTGACAGGAGTCAGTGGATAAACTCCTTTGCTTTCTTGACCCAAGAGTGGTATAATTCTGAGACATGTGTTACATGCTGTTTCCTTATGGGATTAAGCTGCAGTTGCCCTGTATGCTGCTGGCTTCACCAACATCCTTTATTGGCTGCCTTCCTTCCTCTTGTCATTCCCCACTTCCCTGATGGTGCTTCCTGGCCTACCAAACAAATGATCTGCACTGAAATTCTCAGAGTCTGTTTCTGGGGGCATTCAGACTAGGGCACTGTGCTTCTCTCTGGATCTTCTCTTTCTCTCATGTTTCTTAACCCCTCTCTCATTTTGTTTCCATCCTATTATTTCTGTGTGTTTCATTCAGAGCAATGTCCTTGGATCTATTCTTTTTATTGTGATTTGGATGAAAGTTTACAGAGCAATTTCATTTTCCATACACATTTTGTCTCATGACATTGCAATTTTCCACAATGTAACAGCTCTCCTCCCACTTCTTCCCCAGAGCTACCTCTTCCCTGAGTCCTTCCCTCCCACGCACTGCCCCTGCAGCTGTCTCCCTGTGCATACACTGCCCTTCTGTTCTCCCATGATTGATCTCTCCAAGGAATGTATCTACCCGATGTAAATGTTCAGCCCATATGCCGGTCTTTTATTTGGCTGGAAGCTATAGGAGTTCAATTCCAGACCTGAAGGGCAACTAGGGGTCGTAGTCTCAGGGGTTTCACCAGGCTCTATCTGACTGGCAAGCCTGGTATTTTTTTTTTTTTTTAAGTATAATTTTGTATTTTATTCCAAATTGTTCTCCCACTCTATTCTGGATCTCCTACATATATAGGTTGGGCAATCCTACTTCCGTAGTGATACTGCCTCGGAAACCCAAGGAGGGGTCGCTATGAGTCGGGTTTGACTTGACGGCACATAACAACAACAACAACAACAAGTGGTTGACAGTGGTAGCCAGGCACCATCTAATTCTTCTGGTCTCATGGTCATATAGGCTGAGGATCGCATGGTGTACCAGTCCCTTGGACTAATAGTTTCCATTCATCTTTGTTTTCCTTCATTCTTCTTTGCTCTGAATGAGGAGAGACCCATCATTGCATCTATACGGTTGCTTGCAAGCATTTACGATCCCAGTCACTCCTCGCCAAAGTAGGATGTGGAACAATGTTTTTGTGTAGTATGTTATGCCAGTTGAGCTTAATGTCCCCTGGGACCATGGTCCTAAGCCCATAGGTCCAACTACCTGCTCCCTCTGGGTAGCTGGCTGTGGCCAAGAAGTCATTACAGCCTTGTCCCTTGTCAGCTCTTTTCCTCGCATCTATTTTCCAGCAAATATTTCTTCAGAGATGTTTGATGTTTTTAATCTAAGTTTTTTTTTTCTGTTTGTTATTCAAGATTTTAAGTTAATTTGCTATAGATTTTTATTTCTAAAAGTTCTATCTCAAGTCTTTCTGTTCTTTTCTTATTATGTCTCATTCTTTTATGGTTTCAATTCCTGCTTCTTTGTCTACTATAATTTTAAACATCTTTTTTTTTTTTTTTTGCATATCTGATCATTCTATTATCTGAAGTTTTTGGAAGAGCTAATCCTGATTTTTGTTGTGACTGCTCATTCTTGCTTATGGTGGATTGTTTTCTTAAGTGTTTTTTAATTTGTGATTTTGAATTCATCTTTAGGAGAGCTTTATTTGTGGGAGTCATATGTAGCCTGGGAAGAAGGTTTATCTTTATAGACAGATTTGTCTTGCTTCTGCCAGATTGCCAGGAGACCTAGGTCCTGGTCTAAGACTAATGTCTGTATCAATTTCTCAATTTGAGAATTCATGTTGTTGTTATTTGCCCTCAAGTCGGACCCGACTCATAGCGACCCCTCCTTGGGTTTCCAAGGCAGTATCACTACTGAAGTAGATTGCCCAACCTTCCTTCCGAGGAGTGGCTGGTGGGTTTGAACCGCCAGCCTTCTGGTTAGCAGTAAAGTGCCTTAGCACTATGCTACCAGAGCTCCCTGAGAATTCATAGGGTAATAAATTTTGAATTTGAACTTACATGAGTACAGGCCCATGGCTACAAATTCTGAAAAAAAAAAGGTTTAATTTTTTCACCCTAAGAACAGACAGAGACAAACGTCTTTGTTGGTGTATGGATTTTTCTCCCCTGATCTACCCGTTTGTGGAACGTATTTTTCCCTGTAATGGTTTCAGCTTTATGCAGGGGTTTCTTTTCTGGCCTTGCCGGGTGCAGGGCTAGAGCCTCATTTCCTGTTCTACCAATGTTCAGCCTCAAGCTTGGAGTAACCCCCTTAGGCCTGCACTGTTTTATGATCATTAGGTTTCTTCTTCACTGTTGACCTTTGGAGATATGCCTTACTTTCCTCCCAGCTCAGCTGTACTTTTTACATAAAAGTTTATTAAAACTAGCACAGCATTTCTAGTGTTTTGTAGGGAGGATTTTCAAGTTGTCTAGTTAAAAAAAAAATGCTGAAAACAGAAACTCTTTTTTTCCCCCCTTTATTTATTTATATTATTGTGATTTGGGTGAAGATTTACAGAGCAAATTCACTTTCCATACAGCAGTTTACATATACTTTGTCTCATGACATTGACCACAATTTTGAAAACAGAAATTCTTAAGTGCCCTTTCTACTACTATATTGTGCTAATTCTGCCTCCTACCCCCACCAAGAGTTCTGGTAGCACAGTGCCTACAGCCCTTCTGCTAATCAGAAGGTTGGTGGTTCAAATCCACCAGCCACTCTGTGGAAGAAAGACTGGGCAATCTATTTCCATAAAGATTTACCACCTTGGAAATCCAGTGGGGATTGCTATGAATTGGAATGGACTTGACAGCACTAGGTTTCTGCATTTTTTACTCTTCTAACATTTGAACATTTTTGTTTCTTGGTAACTTTTCTCTCCCTTTCCTGGAGTGGTAAAGGGAGTGGTGGAGGATGAGGGATGTATGTGGGGAAGGGCGCAGGCTGGGGACATAACGGTTTCCCAAAATCGTAGGGTATGTGGTATGATATGAGAGGTAATGAGGTGGGCTTCTATGGTTAAATATTTCTCAGGCTGTCTGTCATAGTGCCTGGAATCTCACCATAACTGAGTCACTTTCCCCCCTATTTTATCAGCTTCCTCTCTTCACAGGGATTAATTTAGCAAATGATGCTGGGAATTAGGCTCTTGGGAATGGGAAGTTGGGAAGAAGGATTGGGGTGTGTGTGTGTGTATGTGTGTGTGTAATGTCAGGTGAAGAATCAACACAGCAGAAATATGTAGAAAAGTCTTTGTAAGAGATATTAGAATCAAATTGTTATGGACCAATAGCGGGTCCCTTCCCGGTGTGCAGTCAGGCCAAAACAGTTTACACACCGAGATTAAGAGGAGATAAAATTATTTATTGCAAAGCGGCAATGCAAGGAGTAGGGGTATCCTCGTACCCAGATCTGACTCCCCGAGATGCCTTCGAAATACAGTTTTTGTAGGTTTCAGGAGAGGGGGTTATGCATATTCACAAAAGGTTGAGGAATTTTGGGGTGAAATGGTTGACAATTGCGCCGGGAAGTGGATGAGTCACACCAGCTTCCTGTTATCAGCTGATAGGGGCTTGGGCAGAGGGGCGGGTGTCCGTTTTCATTGACTTTTGTTCTTTTCTGCCCTATTGCGCTTGTCCTGGGCCAGAGTTAATTTACAGGTTGTTTTCTAAGACACTTTTAGAGAGTCTATCACCTGCAGGAAAGAATGTTTTCCTTCCATTCAGTTCTTTAAGGAACTGAATACTCATCTGCCTGGGGTGGGGAAATGTTGTTGTTGTTATGCGCCATTGAGTCAGCCCCGACTCATAGCGACCCCTCCTTGGGTTTCCAAGGTAGTTATCACTACGGAAGTAGGATTGCTCAACCTTCCTTCCGAGGAGTGGCTGGTGGGTTTGAACCGCCAGCCGTCTGGTTAGCAGGCAAGTGTCTTAGCCACTATGCTTCCAGAGCTCCCGGGGTGGGGAAATAGTTGGGGGGTGGGGAAATAGTTGGGGGTAATTTAGTTTACTTATCTATTCCCATCAAGTACGAGGGTGGGGGAAATAGTTTTTACGTTACTTGGTTTCTAAACCATCCCACCCTGCCATGTGACAAAGGTCTGGATTTGTGACCAAGGCTCTCATTTTTAACCTACCCTTTAAACCCTGGCCAAGACTCAAGTTGACTGTTTTTGGGGCCAGAACCGGATCAGTCATACCTAGTGTGGGTAGGAAGGCTCAGTGTCTGCTTTATCCCAAGCACAATGCTAAATTGGCTCAGGTTGAGGTGTTTTTCCAAACTTCCCTGGATTCCAGCCCTGGAACCTGGATCCAGAAGCTGTGCTGATCTTCCTGAGTTTCGCTTTGGCCCAGACTAGACTACTGGGACGGCCGAATTCCCGGTCCTTCCACATCTGTATGGGGCACTCAGGGAGGGCCAGGGACTGGGAGTGAGGGTTGTGAGAGAGTAAGGGTACTTGGCAGTTCATTAAGACAGCTGCCAGGGGGGTATCCTACTAAACTGCTCAGAGCCTTATCGGCTTGAAGGTTTTTCAAATACCATTTCCTTTCATTGTTTCCTTTTGGCAATAAGAGGAGGCCAATCCCCTGTTGTGTATGGCAGCTCCACAGCTATTGTAGTGGGGAAAGGGGGAGTTCGGATTGGTGGACGTCACAACTCAGCCTTTATCTCCCCTAGCTGCAGCGACTCCAGCAGCCCCTGGGCTACTTAACAACGAGACTTTCCAGAGCTGCAGCAGTTGCTGGGGAGCATGGCCTAGGGACCTGCACAGGTTGTGCCACCTTCGTGAGGCTGAGTTTCCCAAGAGACCCTGGGGCACAAACAGCCCCCAATTGCAGGGAAAGGTATGCTCTTCTGGGAGGAGGGAGGTGTGGGAGGAAGATGCAGGACTGATCTCTGCTCTAGGGAGCTGGGACTTTCCAGACCCCCAACTAGAAGAGTTTTGTTTCGAAGGAAGATTCAAAGCCAGACGCAATCCTAATGTTCTCTTCCCCAGTTGGCTCTGAAGGTCCTTTGGCTACTTTTGTTCGTGTAGTGGGTTTTATTGCTTGTCAATAGTTGACTCAGATGAGACTGGAGTGAGCTTTAATCTCTGCATAACTTCTGGGAGCAGCCTGATGTACCTGTGTGTTGCAAGGGGGTGGGAGAGGGGCACCTTATTTGAGATCAAAACCATTTGCTGTTAAGTCGACTCTGAGTCATGGCAACCCCATGTGTATCAGAGTAGAACTGCTCCATAGATTTTTTTTTTTTTTTTAAATAATATTCTCTTTTTAGTGAGAGTTTATGCAGTTACATTCCCATTTAACAATTTCTACACAAATTATTTGGCAAATCTGCCCAGTGCAAAGCTGGACAAGGAATAATGAACACAATGCAACATACTGCCGTTGAGTCGGATCTGACTCATAGCAACCCCTCCTTGGGTTTCCCAGGTGGTATCACTGTGGAAGTAGATTGCCCAACCTTCCTTCCGAGAAGTGGCTGGTGGGTTTGAACCTCCAGCCTTCTAGTTAGCAGTCAGATGCCTTAGGCACTACACCACCAGAGCTCCTGTACAAGGAATAAGCAATACCAAAGAAAAGTTGGTGCTTTTGAGTTGTGGTGTTGGGAAAGAATACTGAAAGTACTATGGATTGCCAGAAGAACTAACAAATCTGTCCTGGAAGAAGTGCAACCAGAATGCTCCTGGGAAGTGAGAATGGCCAGACTTTGTCTCACGTATTTGATCATGTAGTCAGAAGAGACCATTCCCTGGAGAAAGGTATCATGCTTGGTGAAGTGGAGGGTCAGCAAAAAAGGGGAAGACCCTCAACAAGATGGATTGACACAGTGGCTCCAATGATGGGCTCAGGTATAGCAAAGATTGTGAGGCTGGTGTAGGACCTGACAATATTTCATTCTGTTGTACATGGGGTCACTATGAGTTGGATCCAACTTGATAGCACCTAACAACAACAACCACAACACAAATTATTCAGTGATATTGGTTACCTTCTCCATCCCCCCCCCCCCCCCCCCCCCCCCCCCAGTGTGTCAACATTCTCATTAATTCCATTCTGGTTATTCTGTTTCCAGTGATCCAGCTTCCCTTCCCCCTTACCTTTTCATCTTTGCTGTAGGGGGACTGCTGACCATTTAGCCCCCTATAGATAATTTTTAAAAGGTGCTCACTACTCACATCTATAGGATTTTCAATGCTGACTTTTTGGAATTAGATCATCAGACCAAGTCTTGGCCTTATCTGATTATCAAAGTACTCCTTCCACAGAGATAGAGTAGACTGGGCACATCTCTCCTTTGTTTGCTGGTTGGAGCATTAGGTAAGAAAGGAGTGAATCCCTGGTGATAGATTCTGTATTAATTTAACAATCATTTTTAGAGGAGAGGGGCTATGGCAGGCAGCACATGGACTTGGGGGGTGTGCTCTGTCACCCAGAGACAATTGCCTCTCTCTGGGAGGGCTACATAGTGGGGAAAGTTGACCAGATCTGGGGCTGCTGTCCTGGCCTCCTATCTGTTTAACAGACCAACTCAGTGAACATTTACTGAGAATCTCCTGGTTGTTGGGCACCATGCTAGGTGCTGGAGATGGAGCTGGGCAAGGCAGCCTCTGCTCTGGAGGCTCTGAAGGCACAGGGTAGTAACCAACAAGCAAAGTGTGTAATCAGTGGTCCTTGAGACTTCTCTAAGTCTTGGTGCCTGTGGTTGGAACAAAAGTGCAAGACATGTCCTACTCCCCAAAGTTTGCTGCAAGCATGAAAGGAAGATGAAGAGGCAGGAAGGAATTAGGTGCTCATCAGCTCCTAGCTGCTGTAAGAGTCCAGGGAACAGGGAAAGGCCAAGATGGCTGGAGGAATGCAGAGGAGAAGAAAAAGCTTCCCCCCTTGGCTTGTTGTTTGGGGAAGTGTGTCCAGGGGTCTTGGCTCACAGCCATTGTTACTTTTGTGCTTGACCCTGGCCAGGAGCTTATTTTTTGGGACCAACAGTCTTGGCTTAACCCATGTTCAAGGGGATAATGGGGTATTATGAGGATCAATCCTTTCTCTTGGTTTAAAAAATCATTTTCCCCATTTCAACCATCAACAGAAGTACCTACTAGTAGCCACGTATCTGGACAGTAATGACCAGCTCATTTCTCTTGCTTCTCTGCAGATGATTCCTGCTCAACTTGTGAGGGTGCTGCTTGTACTCGTCCTCACCTTGCCAGGTAGGTACCAAGGTGTTTGCACTCTTCGGTCCCTCCCTAGGGCCATTCAGAGCCCCCTTTCCAGGGGACAGTGGCTAAGTCTGAGATCACCTTTGTGCCCAGCCCTGTGTTAGGCTTGTGCTAGGACTGCCAGAGTCACCAGTTGCCTGGTTGATTCCACCATGAAGGTTCTGCAGACCCCACTACCCCTGACCTCATATTCCCTAGGGAGTAGGTGCCCACAAATGCCTTTTACTCCTATTGGGAAATTAAGCAGTACAGGGCCACACAGGACTGTCCTATATGATGGAGGTGAAGGGAGCAGGGAGAGGGAACCCAGAGCTGGAACAGAATTTAAGGACTGTAGTGGTCGACTAGTTGACCCTCTCGTGGTATAGATGAAGAAACTGAGGGTCAGGGAGGCCAAGATCAGTGCTTCCCTCCTGTGCCCCAGGCTTGTGTGCTTTTCTCCCCTTGCTATGATTCTATCACGGGCCTCCTGCTGATACTGACCTGTCTCTTCTTAGACCGCTCAGGCTAGCAACATCTAGCCTGCTGCTCATGAATTGGTCTGGGACAAAGTATACAAACATTTGTCACCCTTTCCTACGAAGTGGGTCCTGTCCAAGGGGGCCCAGAACACTTGGAGATTTACTGCTAACACTGAATGAGCGTGGCAGGAGAGTCCTTTGGGAGTTAACATATGACCCCAGGGGAGTTAACACTTTCTACACAGCTCTATGTGTCAGGCGCATGGGCTGATCTGTTTATGATTTAATCAGTTCAAGATATGCAGATAGATTTATGTACAAGGTGCTCATTGCAATCTGCTCACCATAACAGAAAATTTAGAAAAATGCTAAGAACCTAACAATAGAAGATTACACTATATACATTTAGATGCTAAATATAATGCAGCCATTAAAATTGTGTTTTGGAAGTATATAGAAAATGGTATGATAAATTCTTTACAGTATACTGAGGAGAAAAAGAGGAGATTATAAAGTTTGCACAGTATGATTGCAAGTCTGTAAAAAATCCACAACTGTATATATACTGTGAAATAGAATGGAAAGGTAAACACTAAAATATTAATTCTAGTTATCTCTGAATAGTGAGTTTTAATGTCTTCTTTGATGATTTTAATGTCTTTGTGTTTTTTCATGCATTCTCCAAATTTTCTACAGCAACCATACATTACTTTATAAATCAGTAAATAAACGTCATTAAAGCTAGGAGATAGAAGAAAAACACGTTCTTCCATTATTACTGAGCCCTGTGTCATATTTGGGGGTTGAAAGAAACAGCTTTGGCTTCATTTAGGGTGGAAAGTACTTCCTCATAGCCTAATTTCTATCAGGCACACCGTCATTTATACAAGGCCAGAGTGATTTGGGCTGGGGGTCCTAGTGGTACTCACCTGAAGTCTCTCCCTCCAGGGACTTTTTGCACAGAAGGGATGCCTGACGGGCTGTCTACAGCCCGATGCAGCCTCTTTGGAGATGACTTCATCAACACCTTTGATGAGAGCATGTACAGCTTTGCGGGACACTGCAGTTACCTTCTGGCTGGGGACTGCCAGAAACACTCCTTCTCGCTTCTAGGTGAGTCCAGGGCACTGAAGGAGGAACGCAGAGAAGGGAGGGTACAGCCTAGGTGTGTATGGAGGAGGTGGGGAGATGAGAAGTCCTATTTTCATGGCAATGCCTGAGTTCAGATTGCTGCTGAGAACATGGTGGAGAACGACCTTTCCCATTTGGCCTCTCCCTGTGGGAGCCAGGTGGGATGGAGTGTGTTCCCACGTTCCTCCAGTGGTTGTGTGTCCATTGCTCTCAGTCCAGACAAGGCTCTGGGAGCTCTGAAGCATCAAGAGAAAGGATGAACCACAAAATGTGCTGTAACATGTAAAACTCTTTGCAAAAGGGATGAATCATTTTCTTGGTGGTCTGTGTTATCTAACTTATATTGGGAGACCCTGTGTTATACAAATGGTTAATGTCCTCAGCTGCTAACTGGAAGATTGGTGATTCAGGTCTATCCAGAGGTCCCTTGGAAGAAAGGCCTGGCAATCTACTTTTAAAAAATCAACCATTGAAAGCTATGGAGCATAGTTCTACTCACACACATGGGGTTGCCATGAGTTGGAAGCGGTTCAGTGGCAAATGGTTTTTATCTTATGTTTATTCCTTCCTAAATTCCTGAACGGGAGCTCTGGTAGCATAGTGCCTAAGGCACTTGACTGCTAACCAGAAGGCTGGCGGTTCAAACCCACCAGCCACTCCTCAGAAGGAAGATGGGGCAATTGACTTCTGTAGTGATACTGCCTTGGAAACCCAAGGAGGGGTTGCTATGAGTCAGGTCTGCTCGATGGCACATAATAACAACAACAACAAGTTCTTGCAAAAGGAGGTCTGGTGGCATAGTGTCTAAGGCATTTGACTGCTAACCAGAAGGTTGGCAGTTCAAACCCACTTGATTCTTTGTGGAAGGAAGATGGGGCAATCCACTTCTGTAAAGATTTACCACCTCAGAAATCCAATGAGGGTGGCTATGAGTTGGAATTGACTCCATGGAAAGTGCTGGTACTTTATCAATGTTTTTGAATCCCCACAGCAACTCTGAGATGTAGGTATAGTCATTTCTGTTTTGTATATGATGCAAGGAAGTTATATAATTCACCTATGGCTTGACAGGTAATAAATGGAGGAGCTGGATTTCAATCCTGGATCTCTCAGGTTGAAGGAATTTTCCTCAATGCTGAGCAGAGAGGATTTTTTTTTTTTTTCCCAAGGCAGGAAAGTAGGGCTGGAGGCAGTGATGGAAGATTGTGGTTTGCAACCTACACACTCTAAGAATTAATTAGATGTGTGTGATATGTGAGAATCTCTGGATGGTGGAAGTGGTCAACGTGCTTGGCTTCTAATCAAAAGGTTGGAGGATTGAGTCCATGCTGAGGCTCCTTGGAAGAAAGACCTGGCTATCTACTTCTGCAAAATCTGCCTTTGAAGCACAGTTCTACTTCAATGCATGTGAGGTCATCATGAGTTGGAATCAACTCAATGGCTACTGGTTACTGATATGTGATGTATGAGGGAAGGCCCTCCACCTTGAACAGTAGAAATAGTAATGAACAGACCCCATTCAGACTCTTACATAAGATTCAGACAGTAAGACTTATGGGGGTAGTTACTCAATCAGTCAATAAGTACTGATGTAGCAACCTCTGTGAGTCTGCACTGGGCTAGACTCTGGGAGCTCAGTGAGCTGACAGTGACTTTAGGTATGTTCTCTTGCCTCTGTAGTGGCCTTTATAGTTATCTTCACTCCCTTTCCTGCCTCTGCTGGAAGATCTATCCCAGTTGTGACTTCAATGTATTGTCATTTTTCCAAATGCCCTGTGAGCCCCTCCAGGACAGGGACAATGTCTCATTCATCTTTGGTTCCTGGTGCTTAGCTCACTAGGGTCTCCATAATCACTGGCTGGTGAGAGGACCATGAAGCATGGTGCTGTCTTGTACCCATGAAGACACTGACAGGAGTTGATTTCATGAAGGAAGCATGGCAGCATGTGAGGGGTCTTGGGCAAGGATATTTGGGTTGGACAGAAAGGACTGAGGAGGGTGCTCTAGGCAGTGGGATAGTGTGAGCAAAGGGGAAGAGGCTGGCAGGAGCAGGTGTTCATTAAGTAGAGCTCAGTGAGGATTTCAGAGTGGCTGGTGTGGTGGTGTCAGACTCCAGCATGAATTGGGATCACCTGGAAGGCTTGTTAAACACAGATCAAAGAGTTGCTGACTCAAGAGAGCTGGAGTGGAACCCACATATTTGCATTACTAACAACTTCCCAATTAATGGTGCTGCTGCTGGCCTGTGGGACAGACTTTGAGGACAACTGGGTTGGAGAACAGTGGGATATAAGGCAGGATCATAGGGTGAAGCTGATTTTGGAGGGTCTTGAAGTCTGATGGGATATGTCGCTTGATTAAGCAGTCTGGAGGAGCTAGCATCAAGTGTTGTGTAGCAGAGAAGGGTCAAGAAGGAATTTGTGCCTTTTTTTTTCCCCCTGAGAGGGAAAGAGGAGGGAGGCAAGGCATCCTGGGTCACGGTAACCAAGTGGGAGGTGGAAAGGGCCAGAACCATCTTTGGGTGTCAAAAGTCAAGGAAGCCATCCTGAACACTGAGCTTCTGGGTCCCACTTTGCTTCAGAGACAGCAGATGGGGACTGACGTGGGAGAGCAGCTGCTAGAGAGAAAAAGTGTCGCCTCACATCCCTTGGGAAGCTGAAAGCTCAGGTCCTTCAACCTTAGATGGCCCCAATGTTTGTTTTCACTGGATTTTGCTACCTTGAAAATCCCAGTGGAATAGTGGTGTGGTTGCACATGATCCATGTCATGGAATTGTACAAGTAAAATTTGTTGAATTGATAAATGTGTTATGTATATTTTTACCACAATAATAATAATAAAAAATCCTAGAGGAGATAATTCAGATCCCCTATGTAAGATGGCTAAGGGGGTGTCAGTGAGGATGGAGGGTTGGAAATGTCAGGAGGAAGATTTTGAAGGAAGAAATAATAATGATAATAAAAGTGACATCCTAAGTACTCCTTGGAGTTCCCAGGGATGGGGGTGCTATGGAGACACTGTGGTTCCTAGGAGGGAGGTTGTTGGCATGACTCCAGGGTCTGGTTAGCTCAACTCTACTGTGGACTTCCTACCCCAGAGAAAGGCTTGTAAATAACACTCAATGAAATCTTAGAGCTGTTACACTGAGGAATTGCACCTAATGTCACGAAACAGAAAATATATAAATTGTTGAATGGAAAACTAATTTGCTCTGTAAACTTTCACCCAAAGTACCAAACAAGCAAAAACCTTAGTTCCAGGGACTAAGAATAGATTCTGGGCTCAGGGAGCCAAGATGGTATGTTGGGAAAGTTCCTTCCTTATACTTAAAAACAACTAAAGACCTCTCCCCATTTAGGAAAAGCTGGGCTGTGCCGTGCCTCTGGGCTATCATTATCCCCTCCTCTGGGGGTAGGGGGCTGACTAATCAGGTCCATTCCAGCAATGGCCCATTCAACGTGCACTGACAGTTGTTTTCTGTTTCCTGGGACCTAACAGAGTCCTTAAGGAGGTCTGGTGGCATAATGCCTAAGGCATTTGACTGCTAATCAGAAGGTTGGCAGTCAAACCCACCAGCCACTCCGTGGAAGGAAGACTGGGCAATCAACTTCCATAAAGATTTATTGTCTCAGAAACCCAAAGGGGGTCGCTATGAGTCAGAATCGACTGGAGGGCAGTAAGTTTAGTTTTTGGTTTTTGAGAATGGAGTCCCTGGATGGTGCAAACAGTTCACGTACTCGGTTGCTATCTGAAAAGTTGGAGGCTCGAGTTCACGCAGAGGTGCCTCAGAAGAAAGGCCTGGTGATCTACTTCTGAAAAAAAAACCCAGCAATTGAAAACCCTATGGAGCACAGTTCTACTATGACACACGAGTCACCATGAATTGGAGTCAATTTGATGCCCACTGGTGGTCCTGCTTCCAACAGAAAGTGAAAGCATGGAAAGAACCATAGCTGGGGTCTGAAAACTTGCATTCCTGTTTCCATTCTACCATTTTACTCCATTTTTTAGGAAACCTGCCCAATGTCTCTCAGTTCTGGTGGTGTAGAGGTTCAGGCATTTGTCAGTTAACCAAAAAGTTCAGGGGTTTGAACCCATCAGCTGCTCGCTCTGTGGAAGAAAGATAGGGTAGTTTGCTTCTGTGAAGATTCATCGCCTTGGAAACCCAATGGGGGTCACTATGAGTTGTAATCAACTCAATGGCAGTGTGGTAGTTAAGGTTATGTGTCAACTTGGCTGGGTCTGATTTTGACTGGCTGGGCAACTGGATGTAGTCATTCCCCATTATGAGACGGGGAATCAACTCCATGGTGGAATCTACTGTGAGCAGCTGAACAGCTGCCTTAGGGATATGGTCTGCTTCCAGTAGGAAAGAAGATGCTTTGCGAAAGGTCTTGAGCTTCTTGGTGCATCTGGATCCTGCATTTGGCCAAGTCATCAGTGATCTGCCATGTTGTCTGCCAATCTTGGGACTGTTTAACTAGTGGCCTGTCATGTTGCTTCATAATCTTGGGACTGTGCGTTTTACTTATTGACCTTGGGTTTGTCAGCCTCAGCAGCCACCAGCTGCCTGAGTTAGGAGAAGCCTCTAGCTTCAGTGGTCCAGGAGCTGAAATCCAAGGTCGAGGGGCCTTCACCCAACCCCTAGAGCTGACACTTTGAACTCAGATTTCTAGCCTTCTTAACTGTAAAGGAATAAATCCTTGTTTGTTAGAAACCTTTACTTGTGGTATTTTCTGTTAGAGCAGCACTAGAGAACCAAAGCAGGCAGTGAGTTTTTTTTTTTTTTTCTCAAAGGGAGATGCTATGAGGATCCAGTAAGATAAATTATTTGATGGTGTGAAGTGTTACCCAAACATTAGTCATTGAAGCAGCCAACTTAATATCTGCATATTCACTTGTTGGATGTGCACGTGGATGAGACCAGAGGCTGTTGTGGTCTTTGGGTATTTGTTTCAAGGTCAAGGTAATGTCAGTTATCT